TGGACCCCCAGGGGAATCCAGACAGAAGCTCCGAAGGGGGAGATCTGGGGTGCTGCTTACACCCCGGGGAGTGGGCAACATGCCTCCCTGACTGCGGGGTGGCACTGAGGCGGGCAGAGCCAAGAACCCCCAGTGAAGACATGGCTGCTCTTCCTACGGCTGCTTCCTCCTGCAAAAACCCCCACGCATGCAGGGCAGCGGCGGGGGGGAGGTGGGGGGGGGGGGGGGGTGTCTGTGCCAGGGGCGAAGTCCAGCTCCCTTCCCCCACTACCTGGAGATCAGGAGGCTGGCAGGGAGGGGCCCCAGCAGCCGCAGCTCTTTGGGCATCCAAGGAAGATTAGTCAAGCTAGGGGAGTCCAAGTGTGGCTCTTGACATGACTGGGGTGGGGGTGGGGGCTGAGGACCAGCCTGTGAAGTCTCATGAAGGAACCAATAGAGTTCAAGACATTTTAGAAACAACACAGCATTCAAAGTCGCTGGGTAATCATTAAAGCCCAAAGCGATTGTCTCATCAACCTTCAAAACTCCACCATGCATTTGTTACGCCTGCACACAGAACCCCCCCCCCCACTAAAACCAGGGTGGTCCCCCATCCTCTGCATGCCAGTCCCAGGGAGCCTGTAGGTGAAGAGAACAAAAGAGCTTCTGGCCTGGGGGGACTCTGGGCCGAGAAGACCCCTGCTCTCGTCCTCCCTATCACCCCACCAAAGTTCCAAGGAAGGTATTTCTGGGGATGGGGCTTAGGGGAGATGCTCCACTGAAGGAGACAGAGAGAAGGACAATGCGGGGGGGGCTGCATTTCTGCCCTGATGCTTCCTGGAACAGCTGCTGACTCAGAGTCTCTGGAGGGGACGCCCCTACAACCGCGAGGGGTTCTCCTTTTGGCCCAGCCTGGCGCCACTTTGCTTCCTTCCTCCCCTCCAGGCGCCAGCAGCCTTCCTCTCCCACTGGTGCAGCGCCAGGGTGCCCAGGGAGAGGACCCAGTGAGGGGGGAGGCTAGTACCCATCCATCCCACCAGCATGGCTCACACCAAGGAACTGGGCCCGGTGGCCCTCCATTCCACTGCAGCTCACCACACAGCTCCAAACACCCAGAGGTTGGGTGTCCAGACTCGACTTGAGCGCTCACACACTCAGGCCCAGAGACCAAAGCCAGGCTCTAGGTGAGGTTCCACTGCCAGCTGCTCTTGGCCCTCAAGAAACCTCTGAGGGAGCCTAAAATCCCCCTTGGTAAGGAAGGGGTAACCTCCCCCCTGCGCCCCTCTGCTCTTCCAGCAGCAGAATCTTTCTACCACCCAAGCAAAGATGGGAAGGCCCTTCCTAGGCCGTGGGGCTCTTTCACTCGGGGGTCCTGGCTCTTGTGGGGATGGGGGGATTGGACCCATCTTTCCTCAAGGGAAACAGAAGGGCCCCCAGAGCAGCTAGGCTGCCCCATCTGCCAGGGAAAGCCCTAGGAGATTCCACTGCAGAGACCCCCACCCATTTGCAAGAAAGACCTTCTCCAGCACCCTGATGAAGCGGAAGGGGAGCTGAGGGAGTCCATATCTCCAACAGGCATTTCCCCCTCAGGGTGAGGCTTTCAGGGACTGATGTGAGGTGTGGGGTCAGGCAGCCCAGCTGCTGGGGAAAGTGGGGAGGGGGCTGGAAGCAGAAATCCCAGAGCTGGCTGAGAAGATCCTCCCTAGACAGACATTTTGGGGTTTCTGGTTTGGTCCTTCAGGTGCCAAGGGCTGCCCGCTCTGCCAGCAGCATTGGAAGATTCCCCTCAGGGAGTCCTGAGACAGCTCCGTTTCCTTGTTCTTCTTCCTGTGTCTGGTGTGAACTGGAGGCCTCCATCTGGCCCTCCTGAGGAGATGGCCCAGAAAGAAGCCGCTCCCTGTGAGCAGCAGGGCCCCGAGGAGAGGCCGTTGCCCAAACCAGGATCTCCAGCCAGAAGGGAGGAAGCAAAGAAGCTGCACAGGGAAAGGTGGCCCCCTTCCTCCACTCCCCCAGGCCCACAGATGCATGACTGGCTCAAAGGGAACCAAGGCTGGAGGCCCAATATTTAGATGCATCTCTAATGTGCAGGACGATTGTGGATTTATTTGGGCAGTAAAAGCCACGAACAGGACGCTGCGCCCCACAGACTGGTCTCTCCAAGGCCAGTGCCAGTCAGTCTGGCTGTGCATTGCTGGTATCTGCATCCTCTGGGCCCTATCTGGTGTCCCTGAGCCTTGCCCGCTCCTGGCTCTTGTAGAAGGAAATTATCTGGAATTTGCTTGTAGAGCCATTACTTTATTTATTTATTTGTTTCAACCTATCGGCTGCCCAACTTCAGTAGACAATTAGCAAGTAGTGCAATTTTTTTTTAGAAAGGAGAGGAAGCTTCTATCTGGTCAGTAATGGGGGGCGGGGTATGGGAGCAAGAGGGCAGGCCACCCCGATCCAATAGCTGGAGGGCAAAGAGGGCAGTGAAGGAGTCAACGAGGGAGCCACCAGGGTTGGTCCAACCCACTTGCTCCAAGCTTGAGCTCCTCATCCAAACAGGGCAAGAGGGGAGCAGTGGAGTGAGTGGGCAAAGGAAGGGGGCGGCGTGCTGGCTTGTCCATCAGCTCAAATTCCCCAGTTTTGCAGCCAAAGATTGGATGAGTCTTTTTTTTTTTAGACAAATAAACAATTCAGTCCTCAGACCTCCCACCTAAACTGTAAGAGACACGGCCCTGACCACCACATCCGCCTCTCAGGCCCCAGGTATTTAAAGCGGATATTTGGCAAGTCTGAGCAATGGACGCTGGTTGGAGAGGGAGGCTGGGAAAGGAGCTGGAAGGAAGCCTCTGATGACAACAGCGCAGAAGAGAAGAGGCTCCTCAGTTAGCAAAATTGGAACATTCTTCTGCAAGACAACACCGGTTGCAAAGGAAAAAGATAACGGACAGAGATGTGCACTTTATAGACCAGAGTCTCCAACCTTGGCAACTTTAAGCCTGACGGACTTCAACTCCCAGAATTCTGGTGCTCACCTCCATTTCAGCGCTGTCCAAAAACATTACTGGGGTCATATGGCCAGTCTGACATCACAGAGCGCTGTTACTTTCCCACCAAAGTGGTACCTATTTATGAGGCTCTGCGCTGGACCTCCACCAAACCAAACTCCTGGCGTTCTCTTTGTGATGCAGAAGCTGGGGGGGGGCAGGGGGGTTCATGTATGTACAGGTAACAGGAGAATCTCTCCCCCCGCCCCAGAGCTCCTTCTAGCCCCAGTTCCCCAAAAGGGTAATTCAGGCAGTGAGAGCCTGGGGAGGGTTCTCCTTCAGAGCCTGTAGGGGATCTCCCTCCAGAAGGGCACAGAAAAAAGAGGGGCAATGTAGATCACAACCAGGCAACCCATTCCTCCACCCCACCCCGTGGCTCTCCAGCCTCTTTGCAGCAAGTGGAGACCCCACGTGAAGGGAAGTGGGCACTCAGCCTGCAGGAAGCCACTCCCTTGTGCCCCCTTGCTTCAGCCCAGGGCCCCCAGGCCACCACTCTGTGACTCAAGCTGGTCAGGCCACGCCTGGCAGGTGCCCATACCCTTGGTAACATCTGGAAGCCATCAAGGCAGCTGTGGCAACGTTGGGGGGGGAACCGTGTCCTCCCGACCTGCCCCGCTGGGTCACCTCTCCCCTCCTTCCCAGCTACAGTGCCAGTAACAGGTGGCACCCGACTTCTTTTATCCAGTCTCTGCAGGGCAGGGCTTCTGCCCCAGAAACCTCAGCCCCAGGTCTGCGTAGACAGCAGGGCCTGCTCCATCTCACACATACACACACACACATGTACACGCGCGCACACATACAGCGTTCCCGGGTATAGCCCACACCTCTTGGGCCCCTCCCTTGCTTGGGGAGAGGATGAGGGGCCTTATCCTGGACCAGTTGCTTCAAAGTGGGGAGGGGGAGGCCAAGGGGCTGCAGGCTGGGGTTTGGCAGGGGGCCTCCATTTGCACAGCATCATTCATCATCTTCAGCAAGAGCACATTTTCTCTGAAGAAGCACTGCAGAGGGACACACACACACACACACACACGACGTTGAGGCAGCACCTGCAGCAAAGGCCCCCAGACAAGGAGGGAGGGAGGGAGAGATGGTGCCAGATGGGCCAGGCTATAAGCCCACCACCCACATGATGCTCAATGTGGCACTTATGGGGAAAAGCCCTAGGAAGGACCCACAGCATGTGGTCCAGTGGGCAGCAACAGTGCCTCTTTATCCTCATCCAATGAAAGGGACATCCAGCCCTGCGTGTTTTTCTAAGAGCCTCTCAGTGCCCAGCAGTTCTTCATGTTTAATAAATGCCTCAGAAAATCTAACCCAAAAAGACAGAAAGTGGGCCCCTCCCAACTGAGGAGGCAGATGCAACCTGGAGCAAAAGTAGGGTGGGAGGGATAAGCAACTCCCCCTCCTCCCCCAGAGCCTTCAGAACAGACCCTCTAAATCCCCCCTCGCCCCCCCCCAACTCAGCCAGCCAGCCGGTCACTTACCTGTGGGCTGCCAGCTCCGTATCCGAGGCCGGGCGTGGACGGTCCAGACATGGCGTGAGGCCCCATCGGGGAGCTGATGACGGAGAAGGGCGGCCCCATGCCATTGATGGGCGAGTGGAGCTGGCTGGGCGACCCCAAGGAGCCCCCAAGGCTGGGCCCCATGGAGGGGTGGAGGGCAGGTGTGCCCATGTGGCTCCCCCGGCCGGTCGGAGAACTTAAGGAGGTCGAATTCACTTGGGCGGAAAAATCTGTGGAGGAAAGAAAGGAAACGAGTTGAGATGGGGGCATTTCCGAGGCTGCCCCTTTCTGACCCCAAACATTCTCCTCACACAACAGAAGGGAAGGAGAGTCTGTGACATGTTAGAGAGGCATGTTTTTAGAATGAAAGTGGGGGAGATGCTCAGGGCAGGGCACAGAAGCATCGGAGGCCACAGCAGGCTTCCTAATCAATCAAGGTCACAAAAAGCTCTTCCACTACAAGGCAGAGAATCTCTCTAGAGTTTTGCGTCGGTTGTGTGGCTGGAGTGCACATTATCTCTGGGAATTTCCACACTGAGACAATTGGGAAATATAAGTTTCAACCTTTGACCAGAATGGCTCTAAATGCCAGCTTGTTTAGGACTTTCTCTCTCCCCGGGAGCCCCCTCCCCAATTTCCTTTGGAGAAGTCTTCTTGGCTGTGGGCTGTGCAGGAACCAGCCATGAAGTCCCACCAGTGTTTCCTGTCCCTCGGCCCACCTGGGAAGCCCCAAAATGCCTCCCTGGAGCCGCCTCCATCCAGACTCCCACCCAGGGAGTCCCTCCCTCGGATTCAGGCAACTCAGGCTGAGTAGGGAGAGGTGCATCTGGATGGGTGGAGGCTGATTCCCAAGGCCATCCCCACCCAACTGAAAGCTTCTGCAGCCTTTCAGGGGTTCAAGACATCCAGCCTCAGTATAACACCCCATCACCCAACAAACACCCAGGGAGGAGGACAGAAGACCGGGCATCTGGGGTTGGAGGGAGAGGTCCCAGGGAGCTGTTTTGGGTCAACGGTCCAGGCTCAGCTGAAGGACCATGTGGGCAGGGGTGGGGGTGGCCTTCACGGGCATAGAGAACACCCACCTACCCCAAGATGAGCCTGTCAATGCACTCACACAGACACACAGAGACACACTGCGCTGGGCTCTGACATTTTGCCTGCTGAAGTTTGTTTTGTGCTGATGGGCCTCCAGTCCTGAAGGCATCGGTGAGGGGTGTGTGTGTGTGTGTGTGTGTGTGTGTGTGACTGGTGACCAAAGGGTAAGCCAGCCCTCTTGACTGAGACCCACATCAGCCCAGAGCAGTGACACTCCCCCCAGAGACGTCCACATGTCAGTCCTCTCCGTGAGAGAGGATGTGGGGGAATGGGTAAAATAGGGAGCATTGGAAGAGCATTTCCCCTTCTGGCATGGGGGGATGGGGGGACGGGACAGTGTGGCCATGATCCACTGGGTCATCTCTGACCTGCTATCAGAATCTCCCTCTGCAGCTGCAGAGCAAGAGACTGAATGACCTATTTTAAAGCAGGGGGAAAGTCACTTTAACGCAGACCCGAAGGCACATCAAAAATTCAGTATTTTAAAAGCACGGATGCAGCAACCAAGCAAATCAGCTCTTGTGCGGGAAATGTCTCCTTTCCGCAGCCAACTTTGTGCTGCGCAGTGTGTGACATGGCCAAGGGGAACATTGTCAGGCTGCCTTTCCAAAAACGTAAAGTACCTTGCAAAACAAAGGTCACATCAAACTCCCCCCCCCCACCTGCAAACATTTGCCTAAAAACCCTTGGGGAGAGGACAGTCCAAACCAGGGCCCCACATGTTCTGCACACACCCCCTCCCTTCCACTGCACAGAGAGGAAGGCTGCTCCCTGGGAGGCTGAGTGGCCACCAGAACCAGGGCACAAGAGCCTGGGTGGCAGAGGTCGCTCTGGCACTCCCATTGAAGCTCCTTGTCACATCAGCTGCAGGTCCACAAATGGGACGGTCAGTGCTGGACTCTCCTCCCACCACAGCACAGGCCTGGATCACACCACTGGTTCCACCACAAAACCGCGGTAGAATAAAGCGCGCCCGACGAAAGCGCATACGTGACGTCATCAGCAGCGTGACAAATAAAATTAAAAATAAAATAAATTAAAATTAAAATAAAATTAAAGCAAGCCAATTCACATAAAGGTAAG